TCTATTCTGAATGACAGCCTTGCTGGATAAAGTATTCTTGTCTTCATGTTCTTCTCATTTGATACCCTGAATATGTCTTCCTAGGCTTTTCTGGTTTGCCACCTTTCTGGGATAGGTCTAATGTTGTTCTGATGTTCCTCCATCCATATGTAAGGAACCTTCTCTCCCTAGCTATTGTCAGGATAGTTTCCTTGGCTGTATAATTTTCAAGCTTCACTATTATATGTCAGGGTGTTGATCTATTTTTATTGATTTTGGAAGGGGTCCTCTCTACTTCTTGGACACAAATGCTTGTTACTTTCCCCAGATTAGTGAAGTTTTCAGCTATGATTTACTCAAATATACCTTCTAGCCCCCACCCCTCTCTCTCTCCACCTCCTTAGGAATCCTAATGATTCTGACATTGGAAACTCATGATATCATTAATCTCTCCACAACATTTTTCATGGGCTACTAGCTACCTATCTCTGTTTTCTTCAGTTTCCTTCCTTTCCATCAGCTTATCTTCTAGAACACTTATTCTCTATTTTTCCTCATTTACCCTGGCTGTTTGAATATCCACTTTAGATAGCATCTCATTCATAGCACTTTTAAGTTCATCCTGATTAGTCTTATTTCTGCCCTTAGAGATTCTATATTGTCACTAATGCTTTTTTTCAAGCCTAGCTATTGACTTTATGATTGCTATCCTGAATTCTATCTCTGAATCTTCCTTATATCCATATCTATTATCTCTGTGCCAGAGAATAGTCTCTGGTCCATTTTTTGTGAGTTCCTCTTTCTTGCCATTCTGTCAAGAGAATGATGGGTGGGCCAGTGAACAGAGTCTAAAATATTAACCACATCTTGTTTGGGATGTTGCACCCTAGCAACATCCTGAGTAGTCAGAAGCCACCACAGAAAAACAAAGTCAAAATGAAACACCAAAATAAAATTGAATCAAAGGGCGAAGGGGAAGAGAGATTATAATCTTGCAGTGTGGACAAAGCAGGGTGTTCCACTTGTTTCTGGGTGATATTTGTTAGAAGACACTACATCCTAAAATTGCAACAAAAGTAAACCTTATAGGAAGTCTGGGTGGCTCAGTCAGTTAAGTGTCTGCCTTCAGCTCAGGTCATGATCCCAGTGTCCTGTGATCAAGTCCCACATTAGGGTCCTTGCTCAGCAGGGACCCTGTTTATCCCTCAGCCTACTGCTCTTTCTTTCTCTCTCTTCTCTCTCTGACAAATAAATAAAATCCTAAAAAAGTTTAAATGTAACAAAATATATATATATATATATATATAGAGAGAGAGAGAGAGAGAGAGAGAATAGAGTGTAAAAGGAGTAAAATGAAGCATTTATCTATAATAAAAGATAAGTGTGAGAAAATACAAGTTAAAATGTGACTATGAAATACAAGTTGGTATAATAAGCATCTAGTTGAAATCAGAAAAAGGTAAAAAGAAAAAAGAAAAAGAAGAAAAATAAAAAGAGAGTTTTATCTGAAAAATAAATAAGTCATGGGGCAACAACTGGGCTCAATACACTATTTGCCCATGGCATTGGAATTTTATAGTCTTATGGGATCCATAGGCTTGTCATCCACCTGTTCTTTCAGACTTTCTGGGGAGTGGCCTGCTGTGGTGTTTCTCAGGTATCCCCACCTGGTAAGAGTTGTCCCTCCCCTTCTCAGGGGGAATGGGATCAGTGCAAACAGGTCCTTTGTATGGTTTTTGTTACCTGGAGGCTTTCCATGTCTCTTCAGATGGTCAGAGCAAAAATGGCTGTGCCCAAACCTCTGGCCCAGAGCAGAAAGATTGCAGTCTTCCCTCTTTAATAAACCCTCCAGGACAAACAGTCTTCATTTCCGTATGCACTGAAAACTGCAGCCTCCCATGGGGTGTGCTCACTGAAACTCTCTTAGAGGTAGTCCCAGGGGACTGGGACGGCCAATGACCTTTTTGACTCCAAAACCATGAGTAAAGGTGGGTTCATGCATGCACACCTGAAGCTCCTGGATCATGTCTGGTTGCCATTCTAAAGTCCTTTCTGGGCTGCTACTGCCCTGAGAGCTTTTGTCTAGTCAGGTGCAGGTTCCAGACTTTTTCAGGCTGCTCAAGAGAAGAGCAATTATCAACCAGCACAACTCATGGTTTATGATGGTCTGAGCTGAGAAATCCCTCCTGGACTCACTGACCATAATCTGCTTCCTGATTTCACTGCTCAGGCACTCTACCAGTTCAGGTAAAGTATCTACCCATTTGCTCTGTGACTCCTCAGATCCTGAGACCACAATTCCTTGTCCTACCTAGAATTCTGCCTTTTCATTTCAAGAACCCTTTTAGGAGAGAGATGTCTCTCACTGGAGCAGATTTCTAAGGGTTGATTTTGTGCTCCAATGTTATATCACTTTCCAGGAAAGAGCTTATGGAGCCCCCCTCCCCCTTATGTTTATCTTCCTATATCACCCCACAGATTCATGACAGCACACATCCTACCTTGCAAAAAGCAGTAGCTTTTCAGCTTGTAGAGATTCAGATATATATTCTTACATCTCAAGCTGATTTCATAGGTGTACAAAATAGTTTGGTAGATATACTGCCAAATTCAGAGGATTAGTTGAAATGGGGTCCCCTATACCTCCACTATCTTTCTTCCCTCCCCTGATATGTGGAATTTAAGAAAGAAGGTAGAGGACCATAGGGGAAGAAAGGAAAAAATGAAACAAAACTACACTTGAGAGGGAGACAAACCGTAAAAGACTCTTAAACTTAAGAAACAAACTGAGGGCTGTTGGAGGGAAGGGGTGGGGGAATGGGGTAACTCAGTGATGGACATTAGGGAGGTTATATGTTGTACTGAACATTGGGTATTATATAAAGTAATGAATCAATATATTAAAATTAAAAAAGTAATACATTACATGTTAATTAAAAAAATCATTGAACCTTGAACTCTAGTTTTCTCATCTGTAAAATAAAGTTGTTGTGAGGATTATATAGAACTATATACCAAGATGTACCTCCAGATAACCTGCTAAGAAACTCCTGCATAGAACAATGGTATGGTTCATAAGACTTTTGCTATCCATGCTCCCTCTCTAGGCGCATCCAGTAGTGTGCTATGTGCTGTGAGGAATATAAGAAAGACATAAAACAAGATCCCTGCCCTCCAGAACAATGGGATAATTGAATGAAAAACTTTCTAGTCTAAAGCTTCTTACTTTTGTTCTGGTTGTGTACAGTCTAAGATTCCAGTAAGTTCATCAACCAATGATAGACTCATTAAGAAACGGGCTCCTGATCCTTGAGAATTAAAAAAAAAAAATTTACTTATTTGAGACAGAGAGCCAGGGGAAGGGCACAGAGGGTACTTGCTGAGTGCAGAGCCTGACAGGGGGTTGATCTCACAACCTTGATTTCATGATCTCAGCCAAAACTGAGAGTCAGATATTTAACTGACTGAGCCACCCAGCTGCCCCAATCATTTAAAATTTTTCAGCTAAACTGAATGACAACTCGTTTGGAAATAAAAGGATGTTTTTATTTTGATAAAAATATTTTAAAAGCTATTTTTAAGTTTACTTTTGTTTAAAGAATGGAAGAAGGGATTCCTAAAGAACTTTTACATGAGATAAAAAATTATTTGAGAAATTATGGAATAAAGTATGAAGGCACTCGTGGTTATGTATTTACTATTGTTCTGTAGCAAATCACCACACATTTAGTGTCTTAAAATAACACCAACTTATTTATTTTTAGTTCAGATCAGAATTCTAAAATTCTAAAATTCAAATTCTATCTGACAAGATAGTGTTGTTTCTGAAGGTTTCAGGAGAGAATCTGTTTCCTTGCCATTTTCAGTTTCAGAGGATATCCAAATTCCTTTGCTCGTGACTTCTTTCTTACACCACATGACCTCTTGTTTCTGTCATCACATCTCCTACTGGTCATTCTTATCTGGCTGCCTCCTTCCTTCTCTTCCCTCTTATAAGGACTTTGTGATTCTAGTGAGTTCACTTTGATAAACCAGGATAATTTCACCTATCTCAAGTCCTTAACTTAAACCAGCAAAGTCCCATTTACCATGTAAGATAACCTATTCACGGATTCCAGGGATTAGAATGTGGACTTCTTTAGGGGGCTATTATTCAACCTACCATAGGTACTGTAGCTCAGAGATAATCACTGGGATTAGAAAAGTAAGAATGGTATTTATGGAGGCAGTACATCTTGATGGATATGAAGATAAAGAGGAGGTCACTCTTTTTTTTAAGATTTTATTTATTTATTTGACAGAGAGAGATCACAAGTAGACAGAGAGGCAGGCAGAGAGAGAGAGAGAGAAGGAAGCAGGCTCCCTGCTGAGCAGAAAGCCCGATGTGGGACTCGATCCCAGGACCCTGAGATCATGACCTGAGCCGAAGGGAGTGGCTTAACCCACTGAGCCACCCAGGCTCCCCAAGGAGGTCACTCTTATGCTGAGGAATGACATGAACACAAGCAATGGGGGTAGAAATCATAATTTACATGGAAGCTATTAAAACAACTGATATAAATGCAGTAGGTGTGAAAAATACAACCAAATGGAAGGGGAGAAAAGTCAGATCACAAAACCAGGCAGAGGGATCCAAAGTTGGTAGAATGGCAATTGGGAGTTACTGGTAGTTCCCAAATAAGCTTCCAAGTGATGTTATAAAAGCATTCTCGGGATGATTGGTCCAGGCAAGTAGAGGTGGCAGAAGGGACCCCAAGAGGAACAAAGGTTGAATGAGTTGTCTCTACTGAAGTATCACTTATGTCTAAGCTACTTTAGGGTATCTGAAAACAAATTGCCAACAATTTTAAGGGAGGGAGAAAGGGCAAAGGTGGGATCAATTTAGCCTCTCTCCACCTACAAGAGCACAAGCCATAGACAACAACCAGGGGCCTCTCATAGCGTTTAGCAAAGGAAGATGATTTCTATGAGCTCAGGGATTTTTTTTTCTTTTTTAAAGAGTAAATATATTTTACACTTACCTCATTGCCACATTACTTCCATCTATGACAACTGGCCTCAAATTTTCACTGCTGTCTATTTCATCTTCAAGAAACAGTTCAGGACTTGTGATCTCTCTGGAGTTGGGACCCCGAGGCACTAAAAGATTCAAGCTGACCTGTCCTTCTGAATCACCTTTGTTCCCAAGTCTGACGAGCTCTGCCAATACATCATTAATAAGTGATTCTGGGCCCAACTTGTTCAACACTGATTGAATCTGTGTCTCTGCATAGCCCAGCTTTAGAGCAAAATCCATCTTGGCTTGGTATTCCTTTTCCAAGTCAAGCTTCCCCTCTTGCAGAATGCTGCTCTGGGAGAAGCTTGGATGATCTAAGCAGGGTGATCTATAGAGCTGACGGTGTGGCTTAGAGGGAATTTCCTTTTTTTTCAAGTAAACATCCCCAGGTTGGTAACTATTGTCATTGTTGCTGCTCTTAAGGATCATCTGTTCAGGGTCACATTCAGAGTTCATCCACTCTTCTGAGTCAGCATTGCTTTTCTCCATGCTGTCCTGCTTAGACTGTTGTTTCTCTTCCTTGGAGGCATTCTTCTCCATTTTTTGTGTCTCCACTGCAGCCGTGGCCGTCATCCCGATCAGTAGACAGTCTGAAGTCTAATCAGCTCTTTTTTTTCTTTTTAGCCTGCTTGGAATCCACATACAGTTACATTGTTTTGTGGTAAAATGTGGTGGTAGGGATGAAGCAAGCGTTTCCCTGTTTGGTTTGATATGTTCAGATGTTACCAGTACCTATAAATAAACAAACATACCACAGTCATGTTTAGTAAAATTTTGGAAAAGCACTTCAGAATGCAACAGTTTCTTTGTAAAAAACTACAGCCTATATGACCTTTAATTTTTGTGATTCAGGTGATTGGACTCATCTCTCAATAAAAAAAAGAGAGAGACTCTAATTCTTTAATAATTCTATGCATAAAAATTTCAGTAGTGGCAATAATACTGCAATTCCCCTCCCTCTCACAAAATAAATCACGCTATAATTAACTGCTAATAAAACAGCTTTGAGAAAGAAAAACATGACATTTCAGCAAGGATCAAGAATATATACATCCTTGAAAATATTCTTTTCCTTTCTCCCAGTTAAATTTTACCAAATCTCACACAAGATCCTTCTTGCTAAAGCTGAGTTCCACTCCTGAAAAGCATAACATCTTCAGCACTACTAATTGCAAAATGTCAGGGACTCTATCTACTGGGCAGACTAGAAAACTATTATTTACTTTCAAACAATTGAAAGTAGAGTAAAAAGTGACAAGTAGATAGATCTGCTCCAGGTTTTTTAAAAGTGCATGTGTACACTTATGAATTGTATGTGCATCCTCTTTTATTTATTGTAATTGTATTTATTGTACTGTAAAAAGAAAATTAAGTCAACTTGAACAATAAACCAAAACATTTTTAAAAGAATATTAATTACTGAAAGAAATAAAATTAAATTAAGATGTTAAAAAAGAATATTAATTACAAAAAAGAATTAAAAACAATTTTATTTATAAACACCTCCTCTCATGTACTGCATCTGTCTCTGCAGGTTTGAGTTCTAACTTGGCCAAATATTTTTTCTCAGTCTGAGGCTTAGTGTCCTCACACATAAAATAAGAATATTGATACTTACTTCACAAGGTAAGGATTATGTAAGATGAATAAGGAAAGTGCTTAGAAAAGTGAATAGAACATATAATGGGTTTTCAGTATATGTAAAGGATGCAACAGACACTATCAAAATATTGTTGTTTTTTTTTTTTGTTAGAAGTCTAACAGTGAGGCAAAGGGTGTAGACCTGTGAGCACTAACAAGCTCTTCAGATAACAGCAATGTTCACTAATTTAAAACAAGATTATCTAGGTAACCAATGTACTAGAGTTTTCCAGTTACTCTTTAGTAATATTTATACAAACAAGAAGGAAAGTCACCAATAGCTCTAAGAATAATATGCATAACTGCATGTGTGCTTTAGGAAAGTCACATATGGAAACACTGAATGCACACAGAATTGACGTTTCAGTACAGATATCCCAGTAACATATGACTTCTGTAATGATTATACTCCCACTGTGACTTCAAAATATTCCCTTAATGAATTAGCTAATATATAGATATCCATTCACTTCTCTATTAATCTCTCATTTAAATTTTGGAGTCTGTTTCCTTTATAAGTTCATTTACTATTTGATTTACATTTTGTTCTCTTCAAAATAATTTCTAGTACATATAGGACTTTGAGATTTTCCTCTTACATATATTCAAAGCTCAGAAGTCACTGTAAAAAGTCACTTAAAAACAACTGTTTATAAGACTAACTATATTTTACTGGCAAATGAGAGATACCTGTAAAAGACAGGTTTGACTGTTCCTAGCTATTGGACCATAGAATATTTTTTCTTCTCTATTTTCTTATATTTTCTCTGCCCAAATTAACATTGTTGTGAGTACCTTTATCATGTTCATGTATACAATAAATTGCATGTTACATATAGTATGTGTTAAATATACAGTAGCAAATTTAAGGTCAGGAAAAAACCCACATAAGAAATCCTCATTGTGGGGCACCTGGGTGACTCAGTGGGTTAAAGCCTCTGCCTTCAGCTCAGGTCATGATCCCAGGGTTCTGGGATCGAGTCCCGCATTGAGCTCTCTGCTCAGCAGGGAGCCTGCTTCCTCCTTTTTCTGCCTGCTTCTCTGCCTACTTGTGATCTCTGTCTGTCAAATAAACAAATAAAATCTTAAAATAAAAGAAATCCTCACTGTAATTACTAGTGTTTATTGGGAAAATATCCTACTCAATAACCTAAAGCAGAAGAGAAATAAATGACTTAGCATACATAAACTTGTATTTACCTTTCAAAGCTTTAAGAAAGAAGATTTTAAGAAAAGTGTTGACAGTCTGCCCTAAAAACTTCTGTATGGGTGTAGGTGTCATGTGTTTTTTGTGTTTGTTTTGTTGAACAATATAAACTTCTTGAGGCAAAGATGGCAGGAATGCTTTTCATTTGAAAAAATAGTCACTGAGTGCCAGATACTGAAATAGGCCCAGGGTTTCTAGAAAGAGAAACCAGAACTGATTCTGCCCTCAAAGAACTAACAAATTAATAAAGATTGGCTAGAAATGGCTCTAGTAAGTTCTAAAACACAATTCTATAGAGTTTCCATTTATTATTGTCCAAGCTGAGACACTTATCAGAATAAAAAGAACATTAGGCATAAAAATTAGGTATGTCTCAGGTACACATGGATGTATGATTGGTCTTTCAAGTTACTTGAAAATTTCCACCAACATACAAAAGAGGGAATGTTAAATTCTGTTCATGGGGTAAGAGATAAGGGTAATGGTTATAGAGATTAGGAACGAATTCAAGGATATAATATTTGGACTAAATTTCTGACTAATAAATTAATTAATAAACATTTACTTAGTTTTAACTATGTGCCAGGAAACATGTTAGGATCTGGGGACATAAAAACCAAACATAGATCCTGATCTCAATGTCTTATAGTGGTAATGGTGGGGAGTGGAGACAGATAATAATAGAAATATATATATAATTGATAATTAAAAATTGTGACAAGTGGGGTGCCTGAGTGGTTCAGTGGGTTTAGCCTCTGCCTTCAGCTCAGATCGTGATCTCAGGATCCTGGGATCTAGCCCCGCATTGGGCTCTCTGCTCAGCGTGAAGCCTGCTTCCCCCTTTCTCTCTCCCTGTCTCTCTGCCTACTTGTGATCTCTCTTTCTGTCAAACAAATAAATAAAAAATCTTTTTAAAAATTATGACAAGTGATTAAATGTTTTAAAAAAAAGTAGGAAGGTATCAGTTAAGCCTTAAAGGAAAGAGTAACAATTTTATGGCAAGGAAGAGTTTTCTAAATTATAAATATATAAACATTAATATGACCCTGTGCCTTAGTTAACATCTCATGCTTAATATTACTGGTAAGGAGCAATAAATGAAAGCATTGAGGATGGATAAAGGAAAATAGTTACTTTTGCTCAAAAAAGAAGGTAAATAGGGAGAAAAGTTTCAAAGATGATGTTCTACAATGTAAGGACGTCCATTCTGACCATTAAAATTTAACATAGTACTGAGTGTCTTAGCCTGAGCAACAGAAAACAAAAAGAAATAAAAAGCATCCAAATTGGCGAGGAAGAAGTCAAACTTTCACTCCTTGCAGATGACATGATACTCTACATAGAAAACCTAAAGATTCCACCAAAAAATTGCTAGAACTAATACATGAATTCAGTAAGGTCACAAGATATAAAATCAATGTACATAAATCTGTTGCAATACTACAGACCAATAAGGAATCAGGGGAAAAATAAATCAAGGAATCAATCTCATTTACAATTTCAAAAATATATAAGATACCTAAAAATAAACCTAACCAGAGAGGTAAAAGATCTGTACTCCAAAAACTATAGAACACTTGTGAAAGAAATTGAGCAGGACACAAAGAAATGAAGAAACATTCTATCCTCATGGATTGGAAGAACAAATATTGTTAAAATGTCTACACTACCCAAAGCAATCTACACATTTAATGAAATCCCTATAAAAATATCACCAGGATTTTTCACAGAGGTAGAACAAACAATCCTAAAATTTGTATGGAACCTCAAAAGACCCCAAATGGCAAAAGCAATCCTGAAAAAATGCAAAGCTGGTCATCAAGATTCAGGACTATAATCTATATTGTAAAGCTTTAGTCATCAAGACAGTATGGTACTGGCACAAAAACAGATACATAAATCAATGGAACAGAATAGAGAACCCAGAAATGGACCCACAATTATATGGCAAAATAATCTGCAACAAAGCAGGAATGAATCCTTAAAGGAAAAAGACAGTCTCTTCAGTAAATGGTGTTGGTAAACCTGGAGAGCAATATGCAGAAGAATGAAACTAGTCCACTTCCTTACACAACAGACAAAAATAAATTGAACATGTAAGAGAGAGCTAAAAATGAGACCTGAAGCCATAAAAATCCTAGGGGATAACACAGGTAACAAACTCCTTGACCTCAGCCATAGCAACTTCTTACTACATACATCACCAGAGGCAAAGAAACAAAAGCAAAAACAACTTTTGGGACTTCATCAAGATAAAAATCTTCTGTACAGCAAAGTAAACAATCAATAAAGTAAAATTCAGGCTTATGGAATAGGAGAAGGTATTTGAAAGTGACATATCTGATAAAGGTTTTCTATCCAAAATCTATAAGGAATTTGGCAAACTGAACACCCCAAAACCAAAAAGCTCAGTTGAGAAATGGGCAGAAGATGAGAATACACACTTTTTCGAAGACATATAGAGGGCTAAGAGACACATTAAAAGATATTGAACATCACTCATCATTAGGGAAATACAAATCAAAACCACAATGGGATACCACTTCACACATTTAAGAATGGCTAAAATTAACAACACAAGAAACAATGGATGTTGGTGAGGATATGGGGAAAGGGGAACCCTCTTGCACTGATGGTGGCAATGTAAACTGGTGCAGCCACTCTGGAAAACACTATGGAGGTTCCTAAAACAGATAAAAATATAACTATCCTATGGCCCAGAAGT